TGCCTCACCAGCCCTGCCCCCAGGGCGGAATGAGCTGGCCAGAGTCCCAGAAGAGTGGCTTGCCTATTATCAGAGCTGCGGAGGCTGAAAGTAGGAGGAGCACCACAAGCCTGAGTTGCATAGTGAGACCCTGGAACAACCAAATACATTTTAAATAAAACTAAAAGAAGAACAATGTTCTTCTTTGACTTAATGTTTTATATTTACTTTTACTTTTCCTTCATTATGCTTTTAAGATGTTTGGAGATTTTTCTCCCATTTAACCCTCTTTAGTTTCTTTTCTTTCCTCTCTCTCTCTCTCTCTCTCTCTCTCTCTCTCTCTCTCTCTCTCTCAAATAAATAAAAAAAAATGCTCTTTCTTGGATTTTTCTATATAATTATGCTTTGCAATAAACCCCATCTTTTTTAATAATAAAATTTTAAAAATAATATTTTTGCATGCATCTATCTGGTAATATGAATTACTTCCCCACTCTATTATCTGTTTACCAGGTGAGCAGCTTTCCTCTACCGAGGCCCTTTCACCATGCTGTACCACCCAAGGACTACAACTTTCAAAACATGAGCGAAAATGAACCTCTCCTCCTTTAACTTGTTGTTGAGTATTGAGTCCCCATAGTGAGAATGTGACCCAAAGGCCCAGTAATAATAGCTAACATTTCCTGAGCTTTACTTGTGTATATGTGCTCCATTTATATAAAAATCCTTTAATTCTAACACCAAGACCATGAGTTTACGCTATTACTCTATGTCATTAAATTCAAAATGCCACAAAGTATGAGATATACTTCTTATATAACACTAAGAAAAAAGCTGCCAATTAAACTATGACATGTAATTGATAAACTCATAATTCAGTGATATTAAAATGTAAAATTGTATTTATCTGTATAGACAAATATATTACCACTCCACTTTCAATTTCATAGATGTACCAACTTACATATTTTACATAATTTGCTTAAGACTCTACAGCTAGTAAATATCAGAACTGAAAAAACTGTACAGTGCTTTATTTAAAAACTATTTCCAGATAAAACCTTCCAAAGAAGTCAATTCAGCTAGGGGGAAAAATCATAAGTGGTATACTGGTAAGTAGAGACAGAGAAGAGGAACAGATTTGAGAGTACCACAGCAGCAAATGGATAGCAGTTGGAAAGCTAAAGGCACATATGTGGAATAATTTTCTTTTGCATTTGTGTGGACACATGTGAATGAAAAAAATAATTGAAAATAAAGTGAAAGTTTAGTCCTGGTCAATATCAGCTTTTAGTAACAATATAGTTAGAATCTTATCTCAACACATAGGATGACAAAGCTAGCAACAGTGTTTAGAATGGAAGGAAGGAAACAAGGCTAGAGGCTGGCAGCCACATGGAATAGCAGCAAACAGGGAGGAAGTTAAGATGCAGACTACATGCTGAGCTTACAGGCTGAGGATATGGTGCCATTAACACAACCACGCAATGGAAAAGAAAAGTTAGACATGGATGTTAGAGAGAGAGGTATATATTTTCATTTGGAAGTGAACTGCATAAATGGAACTAACAAAAACTAGGCTTTAATTTAATTTGGCATCATCTGTAGAGAC